TTCGTTCAGAATCTAAAAAAATATAGAGTTCTAATTTTATTATTATGATGAGTAACTTGGCGAATTTATTTTATATTTTATCAATCAAATAAATTTATAAATAATATATTCTACATTTAAAAATATATACATTTTTAAGTAATTATACAATTATACAATTTCCAATTTTTGAATACAATGATATTTTTGTAATAATTAAGCATCACCATCATTATTTTTGGTAAATTATTAGTCATTACTCATTATAGTTATTAGTTACAAAAAATAATGATAAACTCTTCGGCAACGATAAAATACTTTCAAATTCGATTTATCACACATAACATTTAACACTTTTAAAGGTTTTTTCGATATTTTATTAGTATCGAAACTGATTAGGTAGGTGCACTGAAATTCACGAACYCATATCATTCGTTTTCATAAAGATGGCTAACTATATTTAATGTTTTACGTTTATCTCGACGCTCGATGAAGTTTTCCGCTGTCGAGTTGATTGATAGTAATCTCAATAATTGCAATAATAACTCTAAATTTTTTTTTCGACCAGTTTTTGATCGAATTATGAATTATGATAACATTGTATACAGGCGGACAGGCATAGGTGTTGTACCCTACACTGTAAACGTTGGTTTATCATACACCTTATACGGTACATTATACGATAACCATATTTGATGAGGCTATATTATTATAATAATATGTTACTTTGCTTATATTATGTTTATATTTAGTTACCACGCTATTTCATATAACTTGTAGTTTTTTTTTTTATTATTATTATTAAATAGCGATTTCTCTATTATAACAGTATAACCATCTTGTTTATACTTGCACATGACTAAATTAAAACTTGTAATTTAATCATATATTATTAACGATTAATTTCAAATTTTATATTTTAAATTTGTATAATTTGTATCATTATTTACAACTTTCATAGTTATTACACATTATTTATAATTCTTTATTTTTAAATTTTTTTAAATTTWCTACAGTTCCGTTGTTTTCAAAATACACATATAATTATTACTTATATTGATATACGTAGGTATTTATAATTTAAATGTCTCTATCCTGCCCTAGTGCCCTCGTCTGTGAAAATATTACAACTCACAAAACTAGACCTATAATAGATATAGTTTCTAGTAACATAAAAATACATTTAATTTTGTAACGGTCAATGTTTTTTCTAACATAATTTTCATTATTTAGCAAATATCTGCATGTATGGTTTCATACCTCGAAACACAAAGAAAATTAAATCCATGTTGCGTTTTCAGAAAACGTAAAAGATAATAATTACAAACAATTTWAAAAAAAAAATTTKAGTWTATTATTATTACCATTCATAATGCCTATAATACAAATTATTACTAAAAATGCTTAAACTAATAAAACAATTATGATTTTCTCTATATCACTTTTATTATATTATTAAGATATTAAAAAGAAAAAGAAAACCTGCAGTAAATATATTT